GTCTTCATGAATATGTATTCTGGTATTAAACAGCAAGGGCCATTAATCTCTTGGGTGACATCAGGCTAGAGTATTAGTGAGGCGGCAACACTTCTGGAAGCACAAATAAAAATAAATGCATTATTTATTACATAAATAAATGCCCGATGGGTGTTTCAAAAAGTTGAAAAGAGGAAAATGTTTTTTTCTTATGCACTTCAAGAGGCATCACAGACCCAGATTTTCTAAATATTAGTGACACTAATCTGAATATTGGAGGCAATGTTTCCCTCTGAATGTCTATGGTGGTTAGACCTGCTCTCCATCTCAACTCTGAAAATTGAGTATTTTCAACAGTCAAACAATTTAGATTAAACTTGTAAAGATGAAAATAGGGGACTCATACTTTCATATGTTCAGGTGCCAGAGGAAGACTTTGCCAGTCAGACTTTAAAGGGTTGTGAACTGAGAAATTAAAATTCCCTTGATCTTTTGATAGATAAGAGGTCACTGTGCTATAAAAACATTCTGTAAGTTCTGTCAGGACCACTATCGTCAAAGATGAATGACAATTAGCATACAGTTTGGATTGGCGGTATGGTTCCGTTCTGGGCAAGAACTCCCTGCGCATCCATGCAGCCTAGCATGGATGAGAGCAGGGAGAGCAGCGATAACCCCCCAGGGTAAACAGAACAGAACCAACATAAATGTATTGCAGATATCGTTAAAGTTAAATAATGTTATGTACACATTTTAGAATTAGTCTGATTCAAAGGAGAATCAGAAGGCTGAATCCTGACTGACAGAGGAGGAGTTGGGGATGGAGGAGGGTAATTAGCTATTGAGCAATGCGAAAACTGCTGATAATACTGCGGGACCTTATATATGAATACTTTAGATAGGTGTCGTATTCCCATAGGTTGATGGGGATCAGCTGAGAGTCAGCTGATGCGAGCTTGACTAACGTGACCTGCCAGAACTAACGCTACGCTTGATTTTCATAAATCAAAACTTGCTTGTTAGTATAAAAACTAACAATCTGCCAAAACGACAGCTTGTGGAATGTGCCACTTTATGACGTAATAGTGTTGCTAAACACCACCTCTGCAGAAGAAGATCAACGCCTGCTTCTACAGCACTGCCTGTTTAGCCCCGCCCATCGATTTGCACTTGTAGTATAAATAACCAGAGAGGCAAACACAGGTCTACGCAGAAATCAAACGATAAACTTTATTAGATCAGTTTTTTAATAAAGTCAGTAAGTACTCGGTCCTTACACTTCATTTTACTGTGGATTCATTTACAAACAAGCCACAATTCGATACGGGATTTTCAGAAAGACTGAAACTAATATATGATGGTGTGCTGACTATATTGGATCCAATGTCGCACCACACAAGTGTGAGTAACTGTTTTTATTACGTGATCACTATTGCTTTGTCTGTTATTGCAGATCGTCTGGTACTGAGCATTTATACGTTTTTAACCTAAATCACAGCAGTGTCCATCTGTGTAGGACGTAGGTCTGTCAAACACACACAACTGTTATCCAATCATAGCAGTGGGCGTTTACTTCAGAATCTACAATCTGCCACGGCTATTCAAACAGAGCGTTCTGATGAGGGGGGTCAAAACAGGACAGAAAATAGCCTATTACTTCTAAATTATTGTGTTTTGATATAAAAATCGTGATAACACAAGTGGACCTCAGAGAACAGTACAAAATAAAAAACAAAGGCAGTTCATGATACCTTTTATTATTTCAATTTATTTAAATAGTCATGCTTAATATTTACAGTGCTTTTTGGGATTACTCTTGTTAAAGCTGTTGAGTGCACAGTCTTGTAACTTTCTGTCTTTGTGTCTGATTTTCAAATGCTTCTAGTGTGTGAGGTTGATGTATCCTATACAAGCCTATATGATCCAAAATGTCCTAGGGTCAATCCCTGGTCAGCTCATTTACGTGCACAGTATGAACTTGAACTCCACAGAGAACCGAGTGGAACATCAGTGCTAATTTCTCAAATCATACAGTCAGTGGCAGATCCATTGGAGGAATGCAGTGCAGTTAATGGAGCTGCCATGCTGTGACACAGATAATCAGACCCATCAAAACACGCAGTCAACCATGAATTGATCTCTAAGAGATTTTATACTTCGTCAGAAGTGCATCCATCAAAGGGACATTGCACTTAATAAAGAAATAATTGAATTAACTCCTTTAGTTAATTTAACTTGCGAAATAATGCTTTTTGTATGACTTAAGGGAAGTTGACCGAGTCAAATACTCCTGGTTACTGAGAATGGTCTGATTCACCAGTTAATTTCAGAGGAGGGATGAGGATAATTTCTGAGTCAAGTGATGTGGCATGAGCCATTTTTCAGACTTATCCGCATAATGAAAGCATTCTCCATTCATGTCACGTAGACTTTACATAATGTACTTTAAATAGATAAAAGCAAACGTTTCGCTCCAAAGATTATAAATTTATTTGAAATATAATTTAAAACTCCAGTAGGGATCTTTGGAGTCATGTGGAGTCGATATTCTGATTTAAATTTTGGTTACCTTGGTTACCCTGAGTTTTGGTTACCTTGTGTGCCCAGTGTTGTCTTCTCATTTGGACAGCTGCCAGTCTGCCGTCTACTGTACATTTCATTCAGTCTGAAACAAAGTGATCCTTATTATTTTCTTTTCAGTCAAGACTTTTGGTTTATTTCACGTTCTCATCAATTATTCATAAAGCACCAAAAATGTATACTGTAAGTGTACTGAAAATGATAGAGTTCAATAGTACTTCACACACACTCTTCAAGGCCCGATTCTTTCTGAATCACAGGAAACGAACACAGCGCTTGCATTCTGCATTGATTTATCCTCCCATTGGGTGCAGGGAGCTGCATTTAATACTGTCTCATGCATGAGGACAGAAGAAATAAACATGAGACATTTCAAATTTGACATTCAAATTCAAAACAGAAGTGGCTGGATGTCCAAAAATCTGCTGAGTACAATGGTACAACAATCCAAACATAGACCAGCACATAATAAAACAACATGACACTAGTCATTAAAAAGGTTATGTTCCTCTGTACTTTCATTTGATCACCAAATACAGCAATTATTAAATGACATAGTTACGACTGTATAAGAGATATCCTGGAAGGATCCTTGGAAATATGAAAATTGTTGTTTATATAGAAAATACGGTTTCTCAAAGGCTGCTGTTACAGTAGAAAGATGGTACATCACAAATCAGTTGAAAGGGAGGCTTTGCACTTGATATAAATCTAAACTAAAATACAGAGAACTATTGCAAATTATTTCACATTGCACACATTTAAAAGTGTGAAATACAGTATAATGAAACTGTTGTAGTAAAAAGCTGTTCAAAAAACAATTCCCTCATAACTTCATAAAAAAGATATAGCTGTGCTTACTGAACAATGAAGACCTGCATTTCAAAAAAGAAAAACGTTTAACATCACAGTTCTCACTTTCATCTTTCTATTCACTTTCATTTTTTTTCATATTGGATTAAAATTGGGTTTTTCAATGTAGGGTATCAGACCGAATCAGACAATCTAAGATTTGGTCAAAACATGGTTGAAACATGAGGAGCCAAATTCCACAGAGACCCAAGACACAGGATGTTCGTAAATCAGATCTTGGCCCCACAAGCCTGAACCAACTAGCAGCTTTGAGTAGCTCACAGCATTTAAACAAAAGAACACTTATTGACAATTCCAAGGAGATTGTCAATTTTAGCTTTTTAGTTATATGCTTTTTAGCCATGCGGCTTTTTAGTTATATGCTTTTTAGCCATGCGGCTTTTTAGTTATATGCTTTTTAGCCATGCGGCTTTTTAGTTATATGCTTTTTAGCCATGCGGCTTTTTAGTTATATGCTTTTTAGCCATGCGGCTTTTTAGTTATATGCTTTTTAGCCATGCGGCTTTTTAGTTATATGCTTTTTAGCCATGCGGCTTTTAGCTTTTCGCTTTTAGTCGTGCTTTTCAGTCATTGCTTCTTAGCGCTTTTTGAGCGTGCTCTGGCTTACACGCCAGCTTCTCCAAAACCATGAGGAGAAACGCCACCTAGTCTCGTCAAACTTTACTTCTATTTCTTTACTTTAGTTTATTTTATTTTCCGTTGAGAGTTTCGTGTGTTCCAAGTTAAGTTTTGCCCAACGCCGTGTCTCCGAAAGAGTGCCGTCTAAACTTCAACTTCAGAGAGAGAAGACTTTCTTCCACTTTAGAATATTTAAAATTTTTTAGCTTCACAAAGTCATCATCTACTTTTCATTGTTTGGAAAAACAGCCTAGACATTCTGCTAGCTAACTCCTCATGTGTACCACAGAAACAATATAACATTATATGTTAACAGCACCATGAAGAGGACTACATTCTTCCTTCCAATTTGTCCTTTTTGAGTACACTATCTCTGTAATGATGGTTACTGCCATACATTGTTTTTGGGTACAAAAATGACCAATTAATCTGATTAGAGTATTTTTTCAACAATAGCCTAATGAAAATAGCAAATAGCTGGTTTGAGCCACATTAAGGCACTCAAAATTTCTGTGACCTCAAAAATCCTGTAATCACACCACCATAAATGCCAGTACCTGATACTTCAAGAACTAGCAGAAAGCACCTGTAGACTGTTGAGATGCGTGAGGGAGTGGAAATATATCAAATAGTTACCAAATGGCTCTGCTGGTGCTCAAAAATCCTAAAAATCCAGAAGTCTCCAACACTGCATAGACCACTTCATTTAAAATGAGATTATCGATTATTACAAGGGAAGGGAATTTAATCTGCTACAAAATAACAGATTCAAATCCAGAATAAATAGCCAGCTGTTGTTGGATTATCCTCGTATCCATCATTACATTAAAAATATTAACCTTCCATCCAACAAATCAGCCACTCTGTTTTTCTTGTAAGTGTTTGCCTTCAACATGTTGATAAAGAGAATAAAAACCGTTAAGGGGAAATAATTATAATAAAAAAATATTTCTAAAAATAAAATCCTGGTTGAAAGTCATGAGCCTCGGCATAAACACAAACTACTTCAAAATCCCCAAAAATCAGCTTTCCACATGTTCAGAGAAAGTGATAATAAATTAGGTAAAACTGTGACAAAATATCAAATGAGCCTCTGGTCCTTACGACATATTTGTCCCTCTTCGAATTCAGCGTCTGTTTTTGGGGAAAACGGTGTGTTGTAACCATACAGTGAATCCACTGAACTTCCTCTAAGACTGTGGTAGGTGCTGTTTGATGATTTCTCTGGACTGGGGTGGTATTCTGTCTGGGAAGCGCACCTGGAACTCCACTATCAAATCCCCGCGTTGAGACGGATTTTTTGGGAAAGGTAGGCCTTCTCCACGCAGTCTCTTGATTGTGCCTGGTTTGATGATATCGTTGCAGGGCAATGTGATCGCTCGGTTGTCAATGGTGGGAATGTTCACCATACAGCCACACAATGCCTATCAAAAAAGCAAAGTGAAGTCAGTGCGAGAGCCGTTGATGGTATTTCAACACTTAAGCACAAACTCTACATGGCGACATAGAGACCTAGTGTAAGACGCCTCTATGATGTTACAGGCACAGGGAGCACATGCACTGTATATATTCATATAAAATAGTAAGTATATATATGTGTTTATATAGTGCACTGTCTAAAATAAATTGGTGAAATGTATGGTAAAAACTGGCAGTTGTAGTTGCCAGAATTTTACTGTAGAAAATACATAGCAATATTTTAAGTTTTACAGATTGAACAAAAAATTTAGGGAAAAAAAATTAAAACATTAACTGAAATAATGTTAATATACCAAATGTCCAAAATCTTTTTTTTTTTTACTTTATAACATACCGCCTGCAAAAAAGGTTTAAAACTGATGGTAAAGAGAAATCCACATAATACTTCAAAATTCATCACAAGTAGCTTTTCCACAAGCTGAGGTAAATACTAAATACTACTATATAGAAGGTGCACAGTGTCATACACATGAATACAAAACACCATCATGGTAACAAACATGACATTAAAGTAATGCAATAAACATTAACATAAAGAAGTCCAATACAGTAAAACTCCAATGGTCATAACTGATAAGAAAAACTAAGATGACACATTGTATAAAGGATTATTATTTGATCATTTTATGTAAAATACAGTAAAAAAAGCAATATTGAAATATTAATACAATTTAAAATAACTCATTCTAATATGTTGATTTGGTGCTCAAATATATATATATATATATTTTTTTATTATTATCATTAATGAAAACAGTTGAAGCATCCAGTTCAGCAGTCCAAAACTGCTTCATATTTTTGTGGAAACCGTCATGCTTGTTTTTTTTTTTTATGATTCTTTTTAATAAATACAAAGTTCAAAAGAAGAACATTCAAAAGAAGAAAATAAGAATCTTTTTATTTATTTATAAGAATCTATCATTATAAATGTCTTTACTCTCATTTTTGATCCATTTAATGCATCCTCGCTTAAAGTATTAATTTCTTCTCTTTTTTTACTACAAACTTTTGAATGGTAGTGTACATGATGTACATTTACAATATATTTACATTTAGTCATTTAGCAGACGCTTTTATCCAAAGCGACTTACAAATGAGGGCAATGGAAGCAATCAAAATCAATAAAAGAGCAATGAAATGCAAGTGCTATGACAAGTCTAGGTTTTTTTTATTAACATTTTTCCACAAAAAATATTAAGCAGCACTGTTTCAACTGTATTTTTGATTAAAATACAGTATGGTGAGAATAAGATACTTTTTGTTCAAAAGCATTAAAACATTTGATTAAAAACTTCTAGCAAGAGCTGTGAAGTTTGAACTTGGATTGTGTAAATGTGGGCAAGCATGTGGGGATGCCCAAGTGTGTGTGTGTGTTATGCTACAGAAGGGGTAGCTGAGTGCACAGAAAGCTAATTTTGGCCACTGCTCTCATTTCACAGGGCTAATGAAGCAACTGAAAAATCAGCTGAGGAAATAAATTGCGAAACAAATCAGAAGTTGTCATGGAACTAAAATAATATTACTTCAACAGATGGAACACTTTCAAATTGTCAAAATAAGCAAACCATAATAACACCATAGTAATGTCCTCATTTGTAGGTCGCTTTGGATAAAACCATCTGCTAAATTAATAAACGTAAATCACATGGAAGCTGAAGCAACTGTTGATAAAGAAATTGTGATATTAGTTTTAGACACTGGTGGCATACTCTGAGTTTCTGAAAGTTAATGCCAAAAAACAGAATATATGACTTCACTGGTTCATATAACCCTACAGTACGATAAGGTTAACAGATTTGTCACACTTTCCATTATAGAAGGGCTCAAGCTCTAAGATCCCCCTGGATAGTCTCAGCCTCAGATCGTTTGAGTTTCCCTCTTTTCTTCGCTTTCAAATGGCTTGTAAAAGTGCCATGCGAATTTTACTTTCCCTTTCAAATTAGTGGCAATTGAATTGCAGCAATTCGGCGTTAAGCAATTGTGAGTTCAAAGTTTAAATAAAGTAATCAGCAAACACTGTGGAACCAAATAAATAAGAAACGAATGTTTAAAAAAACTTCCAGCCGAGGCTTTTCAAAATCAAAATATTGCCAAACAGCATTTCCTTTCTAAACAATCTTCTGCCATTGTCTTGTCTTTCTCACCTCACTCTTGTCAGTCAGCTCGACTCACTCTCCTCACGTGATAAATAAAATCTGACTCCTGCTCCGTGGTG